AGTGGGGGGTCGTCTTATACGCCAGGTACACTTCAGATAGACTGCCCATAGTGCTTGCCCCGTGCCATAGTGGCCTCCCGATGCCCGCCCACTTCATTCCACATACCGTTCAGGCATCAGCAGCGCTGCTGGGTGTATGCTCGGCTGTTATGCGATTTTGCTGTTATGCGATTTTACCACACTCGCAAAATCGCACACAGCCGACCATACACCCAGTATGATAGCGCAAAATCACGAATCGCGATACCATACTGGGTGTATGGTTGGCTGTGTGCGATTTTGCGAGTGTGGTAAATTCGGGTTACCGTATATTTCTTTACATATGCATTGAAGATTCGCGATTTTGCGCTATCATGGTGCCTGTTAGAATGTTGAAGAGCTCGCACTTGCGCACTAGTGAGGTCCCAGGGAGATGCTGATGCAAGGGTGGACCAGATTGCTAGGGACTTGCCCGGCACTTGCTCTCTACCTCTATTTGTTATCTTACTTCTATCATTGACAGTCCCTCTAGGTTGTGGGCTGCTTGCCTGTGTTCCTGAGAAGCATCTACGGTACCAGTCTATAGAGTGTGTTTTCTTTAGTGAATTACCGGTATGTTTACCGGTAATAAACTTGCACTGTTTTATGTATATGTTTGATTACATACAGCCTTGTGACAGTTTTCCTGCATGTCATAAGCATTTGAATATAAATTAAAATGTTAAAATCAAATCTGATATTGTTTTACCTTTTATTTGGTGTGTGGAAGGTGTGCGGAAGAGGGGGTAGTCTTATACGGCGAGTATATAACAAACTCTGTATTATGAGTGGAAATGTTAGGGGGTGGTCTTATACGCCCAGTCGTCTTATACGCCGGCAAATACGGTAGATGCTCAATGCGGTGCTGGCACACACTGATAACCCAGCGAACACAAGCTCTTGTTCTTCTGGTCGGAGTTGATGGCGGATGCTGAGGCAGGTGGCCACTCCTCCAGCTTTCCAAGGCCAGGTGTTTAGTCTCAAACCTTTTGGCAGCACCTGCAGGTTTTCGCCCTTCTCTGGGCTTTGAATAGCAGCGACCCGTTTGGATCAGAGGAAGGCTCTCTTCCCCCCTGGTCCTTCCTCCCCCAGGGGTTTTCTTTTTGCACATTGGATTTCTTTCATGGATCATCTGCCAGCGACATGGGACAAGAATTCTTATTCTTTATGATTCTTTCCCTTTAATGGTCCCGTTCTGTGCTGTCACCTGGCGCCCTCCCTCCTCTCTGGTCCTCAGCAGCTGGCAGGAGATGTTTATAGAAGGAGCTTTCCTTTCTCTTTCAGTAGCCACCATCTCCCACACGAAAACCGTGTTAACCAGAAGGACTCCAGGCTGCTGATTTATATTTCCGTCATACGAAGAAGGGGAACATTACAAAGGCAGAAGGAAAGTGCCCATGTACCCAGGGATTGGTTCCCACGTCCTGATGATGAGTGTGCATATCTGTTTACGCTCTGGATGCTAAGGGATTCCTTCCAGATGTCAGACTTACTATCTTTGGGTCACATGGATTCTTTGTACCTCTTGTGGGTTCGCTGAAAGCAAGAGGAACAATTCTATGCTCCAGTCATTTAAATAAGAGGTGCATTACTTTGAAATAATGAAGATACAATTTCAACAGAAATGTTAGTTCCTTGGTAAAGATGATTATCCAAGGGCCTGGCTGGTGTGGCTCAGCAGTTGAGCGTTGACCCAGGAACCAAGAGGTCATTGGTTTGATTCACGGTCAGGGTACATGCCCGGGTTTTGGGCTCGATCCCCGGTGGGGGTGCATGCAGGAGGCAGCCGATTGATGACGTTCCTTTCTCATTGATGTTTCTATCTCTCTATCCCTCTCTCTTCCTCTCTCTGTAAAAAAATCAATAATAATAATAATAATAATAATAAAGATGGTGTCCAAGCTCATGGTGGCTTCAGAGGATGGCTAAGGGCTCACTTTCTATCGTCCTGCATAGTCAGTAATAGGCCAGCATCTCATCATAGGCAGTTATGCAAGAACCATAAAACATACAAGTAAAAATCTCTTGTGGTCAGAATTTGAACTTGATGGTTCAAGGAAGGCTTCCAGGATAAGGAAGTGCATTTGAAACTGGGCTTTGAAACTGGTCTCAAAGAGAATGAAAGCTGTCCCCAAATATCCATTTCCTTCTACTTCCATAGGAATAGAATTGCTAATTTTAGCTGGCTCCTCCCCTTTACCCACCCCCAGGGAAAGACTACAGTTTTTTGGAATATCTGCAACAATGGCCACATTTACTCCCCTCCCTTTTCAATGTGACTTTGCAGCTCCTCCTATTTAGTGATGGAATTTATTTCCCTACCTTTAAATCCAGGCCAGACCGTTTTTGTTGTTGTTGTTGTTGTTTTGGCCAAAATGCAATGTGATGAAAGTGACATCGTGCCAGTTCTGAGCCTAGTCCTCCAGAGACCTTACACGCTTCCACCCAACCTCTTGGAATCCTGCCCCACCACCACATGAACCAGCCAGAGCGGGCCTTCTGGAGGACAGGAGTCCACATGGAACAGACACAAAATGTGCTAGCTGAAGTCATCCTGGACCAGCCGGCACCCGGCCAACCAGGCAGCTGGCTGCAGGTACAGGAGTAGGCTCAGCCTAGACCACAGGAACTGCCCAGCTATACCCAGCTCAAATGGCCAACCCACAGAATCCTGTGCTAAATAAATGCTTATTGTTTTAAGCTACTATGTTATTGAGTGGTAGTTTGTGGAATAGCAAAACTAATACAATTTTGCATGCAGCTAGGTGTGTCCATGTGACTGTTTGGTTGAATGATATGTAAGCAAAAATGATGTGTGTTTCTTGGTGA